CGGGATCATGCAAAGAAGATTGCAAGGATCACTGGACAGAATGGAGGGTATACGAGTGTTTGAAGTTCATTCGTTGCTTAAAAAAACTAGCCTCACTTCAAACTAAAAAAGGCAAAAATGTTCCCTTGCCCAGCCATCAATATCAATAAATAGAGGCCATGTCGAAGGATATAGGCGAAGTGACAACTTATGGGAGGAGTTAGCCAAGCTGGGCGACTGCACACACTCTGGGCCAAGAGCTTGGGTTTTGTTTACATAAACCCAAATGACTTGGACGAATCGGGCTACCCTAACACACGATGCAGCAACTAGCGACGCTAGGTTAAAAAGTGCAGAGGGGAATTCGCAGTAGAGAAGGTAGCATGGTTGCAGTTATTCACTCAGCTGTAGCGGATTGTCTTTGCAATTTCCCGTGGGAAATCTGGGTACGCTCGTTCCACCCGTCGACTGATCGCCATGTCAAACAAATCGGAGATAGTGGACTCTTGACTTGGACAAAGACTGCTGTACCTCCTTGGTTTCGGTTGTCAAGGCCTCCCAACTGGTATTGCAAGTAACACTATATGACTAGCCAACGCAAAACATATCACAGGCGGGATTTACGATGGGCTGACTTAATAAAACGGCCTTGGACACAGCCAGTTAGTAATGTGAGAGGAATAATCAGCTCTCCGCACGTTGTCCACAACTAGGAGGACAACGTGTTTATGGCAGTTTTCCCTGTCATAGTATCGCGTTTCATGTGGGGCAACTGGTATACAAAAAGCATTTTCTCCCTACCTGTCATCGGGGAAATCAGTAAAAAGAAAAGATTGAAAAAACGGCTTCACTGGCTACCGAAGTTAGTGATTGACGCGAATAATAATAGTACAAGGAAATGTGCACTCGTTTTATCATTCACTCGCAAATCAAAACAACATATTGTTGCGTGATAAGTTTCCGGTCCAGAGGAACTGCATGCGAATTACCAGGAATGAGTTTAAATAGGTTCGGTTAGGGGCTGCGCGCGGCAGTCTGTGCATAGAATTCAAACCACCCAGTAAAATTTAGGCAAGTAACAAAGACCGTTTGAATGTATACTACAATTTAACAAAACCGCAATCGGTACACGCGCATACTTGATGAACTGACAACGCTTACAACGGTAGAAAGTACCGCTTACATGTTCACCTAAGGTTTAAGCAGGTGATTTTTGTGAGAGCATAAAATCGGGACTTGAGTCATTCAACGCCACGTAAAAGGTAAGTAAAGGCGGACGCCGATTTGCAAAAATCAAAGCCAATTTGAGCTAGTCCAATTAGTTACGACAGTTTATTCAGTGCCTGCCTTCGCACGGCACAAATTACCAGGTTGTACGGAACTAACTAGGGTCTGTTAGCAGCCAAATAAAACGTGCCAAGCATCAATGATGGACAATAGGGCAAGGTTGAATTAAACGCAGGGAACAGTTAGAGGACACACGGATTCAACCAGGAAGGCGATAACTGCAATCTCGGTGGGTAGTGACGAAAATGTGGGCAAAATGCTGCTCAATACACAATCCAAGAGGCCAGTGAGTTAGCAACGCCGATTGTTAAGTTGGCACAGCACTAGTTTTAGGCAGCATGTAGTACAATTGTACCTCAGCGTGGTTTTGGGTACCACAATAACATGCAAATGCCAACCGATGAGATGTCCGCGAATAAAAAATGTTCTCGTGAACATTAAAAATACACGTCTTGTAAGCGGACTGGGTACTGGGCACCAAGAGTTTGGCTCAGGCAAAGGCATGTGATTGGTGAAATGAACAAGCTAAAGGAAAGCGCGATTGTTGGGAAAGCAGAGCCTCAAAAACGCTAAAAGCAGCGCGTTTGCAAAACCGACGTGGGGGTTTATGATAGAGGAGGGATATCTGTTGAGCAGTTCATCTGCAGTTGCACCTGGGTTAGCTGGAGGGCCCACAATCAACTAAGCATTGATGAATTGTAATCACACACACACACACACAAGAACACATGACGTTGTCCTTTTGGTTAAAAGACCAGTAATGAAAATGAGAGGCCGCAAATGATTGCAGAACACACAAAGCAAATTTGTGCTTCATTGTTTACTAAAGGAATGGGACAGAGTTTCAACTTGCACACACACGCCACGTGGGTGCGTGTGCAGAAACGCGTAGAAGCTTTACTTGATGTCATCCTCTTTGCCCCGACACAATACGTGGTCGCGAAATCCAACGCCACATCACTACTAACAATTACGCATTCGTTTGCCAGTAAATAACTCGGGCAGAGGTTACTGCCACAGGATCGCGTCGAAGACTACTGCAGATTACGTAGAATTGGTGAGGTGGTTCATAGACTTATGAATGTGCTTTTTCGAGTAAGCCGATTTCGAAAATAAAGCAGCACTAGATCGTTGTAAATTATATCTGCTCGTTGGGGACAAGAAAACAAGACGCTCGGGAAACTGCCCTCTGTTTTCGTCAACACGCCAACTAGGTGCCAAAACACAAAGCAAGCCAACTGGCTGTTATTACGCCTACGTGTGTACACAGAGGAAGACAACACTCGTGACGACACGTAAAAGGGCGGAAATTGTTGAGCTCAGAGATGACGGTGGTGTTTATCTACGACTGACAAAAACAGGTTCTCTCAACGGCTCAAATTAGCCTCGCCAATCTGGACAACGATCGTTAGCCTCGCGCTCCCAGAAACCCCTGCAATTAGTAAGCCAACGAAAATAGCTCAGGCTGACGACACTTCTTGCCCAAAGCAATAAATGTGCTGATGAAGTAGCCAAATCAAACACTCGCCTTTAGGGGATTCTGGTTCGCCCTGCTTGTAGTCGAGTACTCTGCCGAAGCATGACGAAAACGCGAAGAAAAGAAACAAAAGAACTGGACTGAAGTTTAAAAACTGGATGTTTCGGTCCTAAGCAAAAACCCCACAGGTTCCACCGGCCTACAACGGGACGGGGGAATAAGAGATTCACAATGGCAAAACGGTCGTTAACGCGAACTTTTAGAAAACCTCTCCTTGTTCCCGCTGAGGATGTTTCTGCAGCATTCGTATGCGACTTCCTAATGCGACGCATTATCGATAAGACTACAAGAACAGGTTCCACGTAACCCCAATCATAGTCGAACAACGAGTGTGGCGATGAGCGAAGTGTAGGAGTGAGGGTGCAGCAGCCTCAGGCCGGTGCTTTGTATGTTTTGTAGGTTTGGGCCAATGACAGTTTGCAACCAAGACTTACACGTATTATCAATTTTGTTGCGATTCCATGACACTATAACCTGGCAAGAGTAGTCAATTTCCGTGGCAGTAGTCGGCTTGACTACAAGCAGTGTAATGAATTGATACATGAAAAGGAAATGTGAACATAAATTAATACGGACACAGTTAGCGATTTTGATAGAGCAGCAGCCTTCCAAGCATGCGTCATAGCCACGACCTTGGCCAGAGATCCGTAACATTGGAGACGAAAGATCGACCGTTAAGGTACACGCGTACCACGTCGTGCTCACGGGAGTATGACGCGCCAACCTCACTTGAACCAAATTTGTACCACATTTTATCATGTTGGTGAGGCCCTATTGTTCAAAATGACCAGTACGGCTCTAAGAGTGCGTGCTTTGCACACACGTTTAAAATCACCCTCTTCTGCCGATTGAGCTGCACCAAAACAGTCCATGCCTTTAGCACACACGACAAACTCGACAGAGCGGGTATTTTTAGCATGAAAAACGCTACACTTGGACCGGACAGTCCAGCCACTAGCATAAAAAAAAAACTGTAAAACTGTTGCAATTAGTACTTGGTATTTTTAGATTAAAAGTACTTCAAGATCACGAGAGCGTACCATTAGACTCCGGATTAATCGTTAAGGGGCACAAACTTGCTTACATGAAAGCCAGGCGACGGGTAAATGGGAGCAATTGCGTGATAATCATGGCAACAGAGGCTTCAAACAGCCTGGTAATTACACAAAACTTTGGACAAACTAACCGTCGCATACGAATCATAACTCCTGGCACGACAGGTAGTTAAATGAGCGGAAGCACTGTGTCATAATGCCTGACTTAAATTCAGCGTAGCGGACCAGGAGGGACTCAGCGAAGTCATTTGAATCACTGAAAATTCCCCACGTAAGTTGGTCGAAAAGCCCTCAAATACAATCTGTCTCTGAGAGTTAAACGGGAAATTAGTTTACCGAGCCATGCATTTGCATCGAATGGGGGTAAGAGATGAAACGGTACAGTGAAATTAGAGAAGGAACACGTTATTGCAAAGTCGCAAATCACTGGCGTGGTTAGCCACCCGGAGCAAAGCCTACAGAGGCGCCAAAGAGAGAGCCCACATGTGAGTCACTATCTGGTCTTTGGGCCTGTGTGCTCAGGCGCTGCCTGTGCTAAAAACCCGCACCACGCTTGTTCGTGAGGTCAGTCTTTCGGTGAACGGCGAGCGGATGGAGCCTAAACACACACACACACAGAACGAGAGCATGGCGTGACACTTTTAGTGACTTACAACCAATCACTGCCGTGAGCTGCTCGAATGGTCTCTTGCCAACCAGTGGGCGATGGCCACACCGGAGACCCGTTGATGTGGTTCGTTTTCTACATGACGAACATTTTCACCGAAAACAAGTGGCGTTATCGTGTATATACAGTCCTGCCTTGGAATTCGCCCAAAAAAGCAGCGGTCCAGAGCGTCCTGCCTTGGAATTCGCCCAAAAAAGCAGCGGTCCAGAGCGTCAACCTGTCAATTCTTACAATTGACAGGCGCTAAGCGATTCAACGCGCCACCAACGAAAGCACAAAATTCAACTAGCAGCATTATCCGCTAACACGTACAACTAGCATGAACGACACCAAAGCGCCTTAACGCGGCGTCGTTAGACGCACGCACACACACACACACACACATGCTGGTTTCCGAGAGAAACAACGTTGGAGGCCAGTCATGTCACACCCCCAAAAAACACAAATGCAGGCTGGTAGATGCTTAGAGGAGAGCTCACACTCGGAAGCAGGTGTTTCCGAAGACCTGTTGGCAAGTGAAAGACATGACGAGGAGTGAGTTGTCCTGGCGCTTCCCTGCTCTTCGTTTGTCCTCGCCGTAGCCTTGTAGGAGGTAGCGTCGACGACAGCGCACGTAGCCGCTGGCCGCGAAACACGCCAAATCGACGATCACGTAGCCAATCTTGTGGAATGACTTGCCGCCTTCACTCTCCTAAAACAAAAAATAAAGCCCTCGTGAACCACCACTATTGCCACATCAACATTCGGTTGCCAAGCTACTGAATAAATAGCGATTTGCGTACACGCGAGGCCTCATTGATGGAAAGTAACTGCAGACCAGTGGGAATAGGTGATAATGGTGCGGCGAAATTAAAGCCATGATTTGACTGTGACGTCCCGGTAAATTACGCCCCGATGAATAAAAACGGGCGAATTTTTACAACTGTTTCCCACAAGTATTTCAAAGGCGTGTGAGAGTTCTTCAATCACAAGTCGTAAAAAAGGGATCATGCTTGACCACATGGGGGGTCATCACGTCATTGAATAGGACCCTTGAAGGCATGCCTTTTGAAAGAACACCACTTTAAGAGGGTCTTGTGCAAACGACTCAGGCGTGCTTAAAGAAAGTACACTAAACGGTGCGACACTTCAACTTCTAGTACGCTCCTAAACACTTTTTATAGGCTTCCAATTTTTCCTGCTCAGGTGAAAACGGGTTTGAAGTCTGGTGAGAGCAATCTAGTACGGACTTTTAGGGCGTTCCGTGATTTTAATGAATTTTCTTAATGCAAGGTTTAATGGCGTGATTTAATTTGGCGCTGAGTTGGAAGATAACAGGCGTCCAAATTAATAGGCTTTTATGGTGATTTGGGAAGCGCAAAAAGCACAGCAGGCACATAAGAACAACAATCAACATACATGTTGTGCTTAGCACAAAAACGCAACGCATTACGTGACTGCATTTTAAAGGTGTTTCAAAAGCGCCTCCCTTCAAAGGACCAACCAAAATATTGTGAAGTTAAGTGTTATGGGTAGCAGATTAACAAAAATTGCATTTTTGGAAAAAATTCAAGCTTCAAACTGCGGTACCAACGTGTCTCAATTTTCGGCAGTATCTCCAAAATCATTGACAAACACATAGATACGTTCCTCATAAATTAGACTTTTTTATCTCGAAACGCAGTCAATTGTTCAAACGCATGGAAGCATAAATGGCCAATAGAAAATCACAACTCTTATAGACTCCATCAATCTCCACCAACTGGCTAAGATACTGAATCAAAAAGGTACCGCCGATTCAGCACGTAGATGTCTTTATACTAATGCGTTAAATGGGCTGAAAATAAACACCAGATGTTAAAGTGAATATTTGCATTTCGCTGGTTTGTTTAAAGAACACTAATTAGGTGCCAGGAGTACGATGAAGTGAAAGCCTTTCCGAGATTAAGCATGCATTTGGTTCGAATGGAACACGCTCACGGACCAAGTCGACTAGTGGAAGTGGCTGTCATTACAGGTAAAATAATCTCAATCACACGTTTTCAAGTACGCTCGAAAACTACAAAGATAGTCACACTCTTCCAGCATGTACCATGTCTTTGAGGTGATGTGATGATAATATGGGTGGTATTTCACGTGAACAATGATCATTAGTTGATCAAAATTTGATTGGTATGGTAGTGTGCAATGGTGGGCCTTAGCTAAATAAAATAATTGAACGTCACATGACTCCGTGTTGTGGTTCAGAGAATTCTGAGGTCTTTGAAACTGCGTAAAGTACATAACCAATTTTATACAATTGCGTGAAAAAACATCAAAGACTATGTATGTCATCCAAAAAATCGAAATACGTCTTGTCGTATTTTAGATGAAAAAGTTCATGGGGCTCAAATTTTTACAATAAATCTGGCCATAAAACAGGAGATCTAATGTACAGAAATGCTATTGGGTTTTGTTGATGAACACATCATAAACTTAGCGAAAATCGGTAAAGCACACAAACGTATGACGACGGATTGCCTTGGTTTTTTGCTTGGTCGACCTTGGCATGTCATCAATACGTAGAAACTAAAGGCTGGTAAAAAGTATTATTTACACGTGTATTTATCATTTTTGCAGCCATTAGATAAGATTTTGCCGGAATCACAAAATGACTGGATTATGAAGTGAAACGTGACTCCTAAAAACACAAAGAATTTCCTGGCTAGTGACTAGTTTTGCCACACCGAGGGGTGAATATAAAGATATCAGGGATACTGACAAAGAGGTTGTGACACAAAAACATCGTTTCAGGATTGCCGACTTTGCAGAACCTTGTTCTAGTTTTTGACTACAGCTACTGCCAAAACCATAATTTTGCCTAATTATTGCTACATTAAGCATGGAAGTTTGTGCAGGAACCAAACTCCCAAACCAAGACGAACACCCCATCCGAAAATTTAGCACTGAACATTCAGACACATTACCCAATAACGCAATGGCCGAGGTTATATTATTTAAATGTCATCGCATTATAAAATTGGCCTTTAACATTTGCAAGAAACTAGAAACACGCAAGGACATATTAGTGGAACCTGTTCCTCAAGGCACACAAAACCAGACAATTAGTAAACACCAAGGGGACGAGGTTGCTTAGTGTAGCTGTGAAAGCCTAAAAACGCAAAACGTCTCATAGTCCACGTTGCAAACAGTCTAATAAACAATTTAAGGAGAAATCGACGTAATAAAGCAGTGATGAGAAAAGGGACATGGTAGCATGGGGAATAAATATAGACAATCAGATCAAGCAATAAAACAGTGGCAATTCGTTAAGAGGCAGTAAATGCAAATATCAACTTACCATACGAACGGACACCTTCAGTTTACAGCTCTCTAAAAGATTTGTTTCGGGATTCGTTCGCATTTTGCATTGGAATGTGTGACAACTGTTCCAATGGACAGAGTTATCAACCACAGCCACCCTAAAGGACAGTTAAAATAAGATCTAAATATCCCACCTTTGACTGTATTGACAAGAATTGCGACTGTTCAAAAGACGCAATTTAGTGAAGATGACTGCATTTACGTATGGCACCGCCATTAAACAATGCAAGTTCACAGTGGTCTCAAACTGGCATTTTCGTCTATTACTTATGATAGGAACACACGCCATGATGTTAATGAGAGATCTAAGTAAATGAAACTAATTAAATAGGGCCAAGATAGGAAAATTGACACTCGGCCCACGATAAAAGAGCAAATGCAATTGGTCAAATCAAGTAACGCGAGGTTGTATTAAACAAAATAAACAAATGCTAGTTGTCAGGGCCGTTTGGTTCCAACATTTTCCATTTAAATAATCTTCAGTTTATATACTTTTTCTAATAAGCAATGTTAAGATTACATTAAAGGTGCTAAAATCGTCAATTATTATGAAACAATTTGTTTTCTGTAATTGAATGTGGAAAATCCTAATGCTGATTATAATTGAACGTTATATCAGCCAAAAAATATTTATTTCTTACCCTCTGTTATTAAAACGATACTGTGTTTGATGCTGGGTCCATTTAACAAACTGGGCCTGTTTACATGAGATAGTTCTGTTAGGAAGACGTTAACCTATAATACGCTATAAATCCAGAACAGAAATTTGTGGACCAAAGACTCTGGTTTGCAATTCTAATCAACACTGTAATTCAGATATTGGATTGCATCTGTAGTTAGTTTATATTTTCGATTCGGATTGTATTTAACAAAGATTTGTTGAGCAGCATGCATTATTTGCTACACAACAGGCAGCATATTTCAAATATATCGTTGCCGCTTTTTTGGAGTGCATTTAGGTCACCTCGATCCTGATGTGATTCAGCGTTAAATATTTTTGGAAGCGCATCCAAAAGACCACTGATTATGTTTTTTTCTTTATATAAAAAATCGTTAATTCGCATCAAAAATTTATTTCTGAATACCGTTAATGCTCAAATGATGTTGATATAAAAGTATTCGTTGCCTAATATTTCTGTAAATACCAAGTTCTATAACACAGTTTGTGCGAAAAGGACTATTAAGCCTACAATTTTTTGGTCTGCGATTTTTTCAGTATTTAAACGTGAAATATATATAACAGTTTTATGTGTCAGATTAAATGTCAATATCTTTGCTTAGTGTCACATTTGAACTTTGCTGTCTGAAAAACTTATCCTTCATTATTGTATAGCGAATTTGTTATGTATATATATTCAAATAAAAACGTATATTATTGCTTTAGAATATGCATTATACTAACATTTTCAAAAAATTTCATGCACCTCTGATGAAGTGATTGTGACCCACATTTTTTTCCAATTGGTAAAATTGAAAACTAATCGAGTACAATATTTTGTTGTCCGCACACATTTTAAATGCGATGATCATAAAAACCCTTCAGATTTTTTATTCATTGAACAAGTGCCATGAAATTACTTTTTTAGTTATTCCTAGCACATTCCAATTTAAGCACAGTATCTACCATAAGCCTGAAAAATTTTGCTGATATTAATGATGCTCAAATAACTTCTGCGTTTTTTCTTCAATGTAAGAAGGCCTTGTGGTTAATTATATTCTTGGATTGCATATATGGGCAGGTAGCGAATGAACAAATTAATTAATATTTGAAAATTGTTACTGGCATAACACACCCACCCCTCGTCATCAACAGGAAGACACTTTTTTTATTCGAGAAAACAAGTGTCGCTTAACACAGCACGATTCAATGGCTAACTACGATAAGTTACTTCTAAAACAAGTTCTGATTCAGAACTGCTTTCTTAAACCAAAACCTTTAAAATTTTTATGGAAAAGAAATATTGTGAAAACAATTAAAAATTCACTCAGGCATTTAAATACCTGTGTAAACGAATCTGGCCATAAAATTTGTTTAGAAATAACATTGATGCTGGCTGTGAACTCCATTACATTTGGATACAATAGCAAAGAATAACCGCTTCGCATGTCCTATTTTTTCAAGACATTTAAAAGAGAAATATTGAATGATATTATTCTTAGTTAAATACATTATTTCTTGTTTATGCTGACAAGAATATAAACATAACGGTCATTGGACAAACTTGTTGCTGATTTATATATAATTGTGTTTAATGCGCATTCAATGCTGCAAATGAGAGCTTGCATTAAGAAGTTATTCAGACATTTGCCAACTGGTAATCCGTTTTCATGACAATCAAGGCAAAGGTTTTCAGGCAGTATTTCAAAGAACGTAATTTTTTCTCTAAATTTAAAAGCAAGATGACTAATTTCACAAAGCGAATAAATCAGTTGGAATATATGTCTTTTAAAGTGTATTCATTGAATACTTTTTTGTTAATTTGTTAATAAAAGGCACAGTCCACAATGTTGGCTTGAGGGACCATTTAGGTGAGTTGGAACTCCAATTTTTTTAAAATTTGGATAACCACCTAATTAAAGTATTCTTAACTTTGTTTAGTTAAAAATATTCTGAGTTTTTCATAATTTTTATGAATAAACCATGTTATTTTTTATTAAAAAGCCACCTATTTACAAATCTGCAGTTTTACATTTCTTGAAATTCGATGCTAGCAAGTAAAACGGACGGTGCCTCACGCGTGGTTCGGGCCTGTGATTAGTCAATAACGTCTGTTCTGTTGTACCAGTCTTCTTCATTCTAGGGTTCGAGTATCCTATACTGGTGGTAGCGGATGCGCATGAATAACGCAAATCGAACCCCAGCCCCTTCCCTACAATGAACAACAGAGGCAAAGACCCTAACATGCTAGCTAAAGTTGTCATGGCGGTTCATCCGAAGTCCCATTCACTGGATCCATATGTATTGCCACCATTGTGGTGCTCAGTCACTGGTCGAGAATGTACAGCACGGCGTGATGGCGATGTCATGTGACCAGAAGCGTGACTTTCGGCTTCATGGCTTCAAGTGAACATTAAATGACGCACCGGGGACTGAGAGCCAATCCACTCACAAGTTTTCCACCTCGAATGCAGCGTCTATGAAAGAACAAACAGAAGAACGCAACGACCAGGCCGAGGCTATAAACAGACCTTGTTTTTCTCTATGACATTTACCAGAATGCAGCCGCCTCTGTGTCTATTCAAGTTATTGGTACTACCTCTCAGCCTTCTTCACATCATGGGCCCGAAACTTACAGTGGACTCAGATGGATGGCGCCTAACTTAGGGTTTTGGCTTGTGATTTATGTGATAGTTTTATTTATCCTAGGGCTGTGCTAACCTACATAATTTATCCACATTTGTCTCTAATTTCCAGCAGCTCCTCTTCGTAGGCTAGTCAGACGCACAAAGAGAGCGGATAGGCTGAGCTCTTAGAGGTCCCAAATTTCTGTTCCACTGAACGTCAATATACTTAGTAGAGAAGCTGTCCTCAGCTCCTGGCTTGATTTTCTGCACACTCGATGTTTGATAAAATGTTCGGTTTGACATTCTTCGTTACCCACATTTGGTAGCATGGTGGTCCATGGGAATAGTTGAAGAGAGACTTCTCTCTTGATGACTTTTTGGAAGGCCGCTTTATACATTGCAATATCCTTTTCTAATTTCATTCAAATTAGCTCCCATAGACCTTATCATCTTTGCTTACTTGCCAACGCCTCTTCAGATGCAGTGGTTCTGATCCTAGGCTTTTAAGGACGCAAAATTAATGAATAACGCCAAGCTCAGCCAATTCTCTGCATTGGTGCTTTTGAATAGCCTGCGAAGAAGAACTGCAGCCGACCAGAGATAATGATGTGATAGAAGCAACCCATAATGGGTAATATAGCCATCTTAGTTTTCAAAGATGGTCATAGCCTGACGGGCGATTCCTGTTGCTAAATAAACATGGTTCTACTTATAAGGTTATTAAGGGAAAATTGTCGATACCTATGGCTTTTTACCAACTTTCGTACAGTTTGCTCGTTGTGGCTAGGATTGGAGAATTCGCTAATTTTAGGGATTCCGTTGCTGAATCAGTTAAGCCTTTGGCCTTAATACTGAAGCCGATTTTATCCACAAAGCCACTGAGTAATTAAAGCTTACAATTAAACTAGATTTATGTCAATGCACATATTTTATAATACGAGGTTGGGATAATAGCAAAAGAAGAGTATCTAATCAAAATTTAATTTAATTAGTAAATAAAGAAATAATTTTGGAATGGAGTTATTGAAAAAATTGCATGCCAAAGCCTCTGCGCAAAAACTCCAAATAAGTTTTTTTTAATATTTGTCCGAGACGTGGCCTTCTCTTTAAATTGAGATGCTTAAGTGACTCCCTAGATTGCATTTATTGTACGTTTTCAAAAAGACCATGAATTTCAGGTTATTCCAAAATTCCTTAAGTGTGAATATATGCGGGGTATCGTGATGGCACGTGAGCAACGGCTAATAATTTTTCTAAACTGAAGTCAATTGTGGTTCCAGAATAATTTTTGCTTTCGCTGCAAATCAAACATTTGCTGCATAATTAAAAAAAGATTTGTGGTGAAATAAACGCATTTCACATTAAATTGTTGACGTGTATGCTTTGGTAATGTTTTTTGCTATCAGAATGAAATATGCGATCCAGCAATTAAATTAATCACTAGTCATACGAAAAATGTTATCATTTGGTTTTTGTGTTAAATTAAATATATTATACAAAAACAGATACTAATTTAGAAGAGAAATACATGTTGTCAGCATTCACAAAATAATGCTTGTTTTACCGTGATGTTTCATACTCATTTTTCCGCAATGTCTGGTAACTCTCAGCATTTCGTATAATAATTTTTAGTTCGTGGGCATAAATTGTTTTTAGGAGGCTTATCTTCCAGTGTTAGCAAGTCTGATCTTCTTCGTGAGCTTTCGAAATTCGGCACTATTGCGGATGTTTGGGTGGCAAGAAATCCTCCTGGATTTGCCTTCGTCGACTTCGAAAAAATTACTGATGCTGAAAAGGCTGTGCGAGCTTTAGATGGCATCACCGTGTGCGATTCGAAATTAAGAGTAGAGTTTGCTCATAACTGCTCACGTAATGGTTAGTTTCAATAGATCATCCTGTGTTTGTGTCATGTTTCCTTTCCACGGCCTTGTACCATGCTGTTCTATAGGCGACCGATCACGTCCAGTTGGGGAGCATCGGCAGTACAATGACTCTCGAACAGGTAGGAGTCCAGTTCAACGTCGCTACGACTCCCCTCCTCGTCGCGGAAGATCCCCTCCCGTTTTGTTTCCCCCGGAACAACTCCGCTATCCTTATGAGCAGTTGGCTGCCTTCTACAACCCTGAAATGTTGAACGCAGCCGCGGCCGCTGCTGCTGCCGGCTTCCCGTATCAAATTCCCGGATATCCCACTATGTTTCCGTTCTTACCTCCAACTGAGGACGTGCGCCGGTCAATGCAGTCTTCTAGGAGACATTCGCCCCGACGATCTCCAAGTTATCGTCGAAGGTAATGAGGTTGTGTTTTCGGTCGCAGTGTGGATTACATGGGCTAGGTTCCGAGCTGTTTTCGTCGCCACGGTGACTTCACTCATTAGTCACAGAATTTTCGTCGGAACAGCAGCGAGTCTTAGTGGTGTTTTTGACACCAAAAATCAACCTATCCGCTTGTCTATACATTATTTGACAAAATTCGTTGCACCGGTCTTGCTTTGAAACCTGTATGCGTCGGATTTGCTACATAGATTTAAGACCGCTTTGACAAATCCCGCTTCTACCTGCCTCCATTATGTGATTAAATCCCTATTATTTGAATGGACCGGAGCCTGTTCTGGTTACTTTTCGTCGACGTTTCCTTGGCGTTTTTTACCAATCGGCAAAGGACGTATGATCGTTCATGACTACGGTGATCCGATTTCACGACGGAGGATGTTGCTTATAAAACATCGGGTATTTTCGTCAAGTCTTCAGCGCCGGATCCTCGCAAACCTTCACGACGCTCGGTGTAAAGGGTATCTTCCTTTTCATTGGACAATTCAACGGTGATACTGACGTTCAAATGGATCAATATACCTAGTACGGGACATTTTGGAAACATCAAGAGATTGCACATCATCCTGTCAATCTCCCCTCACTGCACATTTTCGCGAAAATATTCGTTGTTCAAAATTTAATGGGCGGTAGTGTAATCTTAACGGTAGTGAGGAGTTATCGCTGAGGCATTGAAAGCCACAGTGGATTTTGTGCAAATGTTGTGCTACTGCATAAATTATGGCTTATGAGTAAAATTGGGTTCTTGGTCATTAATGTTTTAAGATGTATAAGTTCAATTTGCCTGGAGGGATGTATCTTACGCTATCGTATCCCTAAGGCCTTTGGGATGTTGTCCAACTGCCGTCCGCAGACCTCCGATGAATTGTCGCAATTTCTAGACTCTTCTCTGCAGTCGCAACTCGCTTCTATGTGTACAAAGTAATCATCCGACTAATTACCTCTCCTAGCCATGGCGCACCTCTGCAGGGTAGACTGGCTAGAAATTAAGCATGCGCGCTGATTTCCCTAACTTCCGTAAACCCCCTCCTTCCCATCTCCACAGAAGCCGAAGTCCGATTGAAAGTCGAGGTCGAAATTCCTACGACCGTTATCGGGATGGATGCCGAAGCCGCGATCGCAGACGTCCGTCTCCGCTACCTCCACGACGTGGAAGTCCACCATCCGAAATTGGGGGCCGTCGACACCACTACGATCGCACCCCACCAAGAATTCCTGACCGCCGAAGGCGTTAGACCATCAATGTGATGTTACTTGTCTTCAATCGTATTGCCCGTTTTAACATACGTCCTCAAAGCATTTCTACTGCATCAATAAAGTGTTTACAACCATACTGTGTCGCCGGGGATGTGCTAATGGGCCGTCAACTTCGAGCCACTTGTGGCGCCAACACTTGCCAAGCGTCGCATCCTCACGAACGTGGCTTTATTTTGTGTGGATCAGCATGGGGCGGAGAAGGGTGGGTGATGTAAGCTACTACAATTTCGTCGGAAAGGATATTTGAGCTGCGCATCTGCTGTCTTGGAGTAACTTCAGATTTCGGCACATATCAGTCCCATGGACGCTGCACTTGTGTTCGACGCCATTGCCTTCGAGCAATTACCCTATATTCATTTCGTCGCGACGCGTCGCGTAACAGATTCGCTCGAAGACGTCCTGATATTCTTCAGCCTTAATTTTCAGCTATCTCTAAGCGTAGTTTCCTGATCTACTCCTTATAGTATGTGGAGTTCTTTGACCTTAACTTTTGCTCTTGGTAAAAGAGCTCTTTTTTATATTCCCTGATCGTATAAAATAGTCGTTAAATGATATTATTTTTTATTAGGCACTGCAGTAGGTTTTCAATCAGGGAATCGCGCGTGATTTCTCACGTCGCTGGCCGTAACAACTTGCTGGTGATGAAATATAGCGCCGCGCAAGTATTTAACCACTGGCGGTATTTATCCGCTTTCATTATCATGGTGCCGTACAGGCTGCTGATTTCGCACACTGACAGTGTTGTTTTGGTGAATTTTCGTCTTCTGAGCGGCTATGCGCAACCAAATTATAGGCGTAGTCAGATGAATATGTCATTTAGCTGTTTAGTACCTTGTGCTACGCCTAGCTCCTTGGTATCTTTGCGAATCTTTTGGTGTGTGTGAGGATATTCCCTTTTTTGCAACTTAGGCCGTTCTCATAAGCCGTTAATGTAAATAAATGCTGTCATTGTAGATCCTTGAACTAGTTAGTCTGGTTTGCCAATTGCTGCAATTTGCGTCAGCAGGAAGTCAGGTGTCATGTGTGAAGCAGCACAAATAAACTTGGAGCGTGTTATCAAGACAGTTTCTGCGGAGGGTAGTGTGTGATTGGTTTAGTATGACTGACGCAAACGTGGACCAAGGGGGATTCACTTTTTGTTTGCAACACTGGTAATTCAGTTCAGAGCTTCCCGCTCTGGCTCAGTTTCATGCAGCTAGCCGAGTATTTGTATGGCTTTTTTGCCACCATGGAACAGATTTTAAACCGTTAAATAGAAAACACTGAATGTGTGTGTGTAAGTTCGGATGAGATGAATTTGTACTACTTAAACAAGGGATCCACACAATAAAATTTTCGAAAAGATGGAAGATGTAAATTTCTTTCGTCGTTGGAGCGACAACTAAGGGGTGTAGCTACTTCAGGTCAGCGGACGGGGGGGGGCCTACTGATTAAGCAATTTGGTCTGCTACGTATTCTGTCATCAAAGTGGAGGTAGGGATTGGGATTCCTATGTGCATTGAAGCGTTCACGACATCAACAGTCGGCTGCGATACCATATGGACCAAGTCCGAGAGCAGTTTCAATACGGCTTTTTCCCATATCCAAAGTCTATTTGAGAACTCGACGCTTTCGGTTTTTCCCAGTTGGAGTTTGCGCTTAGCTCTGCCACTTGTCGTTTAATTTCTCTCGTTGATGGGGTCATTTTTTTTAACCAAAGTTACTCGTGACTTCTCCTGATATTGAGATATTAGGATGAGTTATGGATGTGTCAGAATTAATTCAACGAAATTAATTTAAATGTCACGTAATTTGAAGTTGGGTGCCTTCGCATCCACCGTTTACGAAGTCTCAGAGTTAAATTGCCAGCTTCGTGTGTTAGTCATCCGGCTAATCTTTACTTCGTGGGGCCAAGGGCTTGTGTCCACGTAGCTGTACTCTATTAGGGCTGCTAGTCGATGACTAGCTTTATTTTGTGGTGTACCCATGGAAGCTGGTGATTTTGCAACTTAGGTTCAAGAAACGCTGGTTCAGGTCCTCTCATCCAGTTTAGCAGGCAGGCAAGAGCCGTGCCATGTGGGTCACAAATGCTTTCGTATAGGAACCCGACTGATCAAAGCTGAATCAGTCTAAAAACCTACTGTTAAAATTTAGACGAAAAGGGTGGAGGGGGTGGAGAAGAGTTCGCAAACTTGAGCTCGATGCAACAAGTGGCATGTCACCTTGTAATGCCGTGGTAACTGAAGATCAGCCACGGAATGGGCGTTCGCCTCACTATAATTTAAAACATTTTTGGAGTTTAGAAACACTAAAGATGCGTCGTTTGGAGGAAAGCTGTGGCATTCTCTTAACTATGCTTGGGACAAACAAATCTTCGAATATTCGTAAATGCTCTGTTTAGCCTGTCTGCGGCAGGTCTTGACAGGTTTGCAAGACCTAATTGGGTGTCCGCGACTCATTTTTGAACCGGATTAATGTTTCTTGCCTCCCTAGTTCTGATTGGTCCACTGACAGGGGAAATTAACACGCGAAGGAGCGTGAGCAGGTGGATCATCTTCGTCAGAATGGTGTGTCTGGGAATGCGGAGGGCGTGGGGTGGACATGCATCAAACACCCAATGTCAGAAAGGGAAGTGGAGAGTGATTGAGAAACGTGGGAAATTGAAACAAAGGAGTAGGGTTCTCCGAATGCCCACTAGGTGATTCACGGCATTAAAAATAAACGCGGTCCTCCTGCTGAGCGGTACCTGCCACATGTAGTCTTGCAATTTTGTGGACAATGACTCCGGCTGTGATGCTAAGGGTCGTGATGTACGTCTGTTTTGCCTTGTTGATTCATTTTTGCTACGATAAAACAGTGTGGGCGCTATCAAAGTTATAAAGTGGTATTCTCCTTAGAAATAGTGGTTTTGTGGTATAAATGTGGCCCGAGCTGACGGTACTTTTTGGGTGTTCCTGGTTCTCTAAACCACCCAACGTCGTTGCCTCTAGGCAGCCTCCACGCAACCACCTGATGGATTACTAAACCCACTACTGACCAGGTAGCGCCCAATCGAAGCGTCTTAGCTACTTGGCGGTTATCCGTCAGGTCATTGCCTGAGGCGTCCTCCACTACACTAAGAGCATTGTTTCAAGCTAGAATAACGAAATGAAGAATGGTGCAATGATAGAGGATGGACAAACTCCAGATTAGACTCGGAAATTGGGCAGACGGGTTGGCTGCCAGTTGAACAGTCGTGTCCATTCAATATCGTTGTCATAGTCCCGGATTCTTGTGTTACCTACTGCGGCCAAACGTAGAACATCCTGGTATTCAATTGGTTACAGATGCCTCGATTACGTTCCTCAAGTCCGCAGTTTCTTCAAATCGATGACAATTTCGAAAGCCTCAATGAATATTATTTGATGCAATAGCGCCTTGGTGGCGCATAAATAAACGATTTCTCCGGGAATATCAGAATGTTGTGTTACTGGGATCGGGGTTTGTCACTCCTCTCAAGTAAACTTCACGCGCATCAATATATTGTGGCTACATGTATCGGTAATTCTTTTGGTGTCTTAATCCAAATCCGGTGCACCAAAAGGCGAAACCTTTCCTGCTGCCGTAGTCAAACAAATGTTTACGTCTGCTCAAATACTGCGGAAATCAATCTGTGACTCGGTCTCTCAATGGCTTCATCAAATACTGCTTCACGGTGGTTACAAACATAAGTGCCTTCCGAAAGGAACGTTTGTATATTCGAAAAGCCTGGTTAATGTAGCTCAAGCTTAATTTGCGTTCTCTTTTAATGGAGTTACAAGACAAAATGGTCACCTCAGGCAGATATTACTCCTGAGCTATTTCAAATCGACGAGTGCTTAGTTCATCTCCATATTCTGTTGACTAAGCAGGTGGTGGGGTTTGCGTAAACCACGACGTCGTTCTAATATTTCACAGTATGCATATTTCAACTTAGCCCCTCAAACCAGCTACAGAGGCTCATTCAAACTACATTAATACTTGTCGTATCTTTCAAGTCGGCGACTGTTTGACGCTTGGAGTCTTTATGTGGTTGGCAAAATGAATAAGCTCTCCGACTACCGAGGGCACTCTCCTGCTCAGCTACACCTCAGGAAGTGAGCGCATTGCAAACTGCGTGATACTGTCCAACTGACTGAATCAGCCATCACGTGCAGTCACAACGTGCTCAGCTGGTGTCGAGGTGGCAAGCCTCCCTGGGGGTTCATTTTAATCATCAAACGGAGTGCAGAAAAGTTAACTGCAAATACCTATGTACTTAATGCATTTAGG